ATATATATATATATATATATATATATATATCATGTAATGTAAAATAACGAAGCGCGAAACACAACGATAACGATCGCCGGTGCACGTCGCGACCGCAGCCTACACATGACGGCGCCACCTGGTGGCACGAGACACGCACCTTCGAGTTCCTTCTGCAGCGCCTGCACCTGACTGCCGTCTCCGCTGCCACCGGGGGGCGCTAGCGTTGCCGCCAGGGAGCACTGCTGCTGCTGCTGCTGCTGCTGCATCGCGTCTGCTGCGGCCGCCTCTGCCGCGTCTGTTTCCCCGTAGATGGCACCGTAGAACAGTCGCTGGAACGTGAGCTCTGCCTTCGCCGACTCGCCGTTGCCTAGCAACCCCCCGCCGCCGGCGTCCGCGTCGCCCCGTGCCTCCGCCGCCGCCGCCGCCTCGTGCGGCGCCCCCTGGTAGTCAAGCACGTGCGCCTGGGGCCACTCGGCGACGCTCGCCTCGCCAGAGGGCGCCGCTGGCAGCAGGCTCGCGACGCTGGGCAGCCGGTAGGTGGCGCCGGCGGCGTCGTCGAGGGCCGCCGCCGCGGGTCGCGGGGTCGTCTCCATGGCGACGGCCGGCGACGTGTCCATGGGCAGCGCCGGCGGCTTGTCCAGCTGGTAGGTGGCGCCGACGGCAGCCGACGACGCGTCCATGTGCTCGACCGGCGCCACCTGGTGCTGCACAGGCACCACCTGGTGGGTCGAGCTCTGCTGCTGCGGCAGCAGCTGTGTCTCGTGCGCGGCGAACTGCGGCAGCTCACCAGGGGGCGCCGCCATCGCCGCGGCCGTTGTCGTCGTGGCGACGCCCTCCATGGCGGCCGACAGTGGCTCCATCTTTACGGCCGACGGTGGCGCCATCGTGGTGGCCGACAGTGGCGCCATCGCGGAGGCAGACAGTGGCGCCATCGCACTGCCGCCTCCGCCCAGTGACTGTATGGCTGAGTCTCCCATGAGCATGCCGACGAAGTCAGAGGGCGCCACCGTCGTCGCCGTCGTCGCCGCCGCCAGGGGCAGGTCAGCGTGCGTCTGTGGAGGCGGCGGCGGCTGGCGCTGCAGCGGAGAGACGACGGTCACGTTGACGGCGAACGGTGATTGTCCCTCGCTGATCTGGAATCGCCGGTTGATCTCGAGCGTGGCTGAAAGGAAGCGAAGAGACAATCAGATATCGCAGCAGCAAGAAGGAAAACAAGGAGGAGGGGGAGGAGGTGAAGGAGGAGGAGGATGAGGAGGGAGCCAGGAGAAGAACGGAGACTGGCCCTTGCTGATCTGGAATCGCCGGTTGATCTCTAGCGCGGCTGAAAGGAAGCGGAGATACAATCAGATATCACAGCAGGAGTAAGGAGGAAGGGAGAGACAAGGAGGTGATGAGTCAAGAAGAAAGAAAAAGAGAGAGGTGACGGAGAGAATCAGATATCGAAGCAGCAGTCGATACGTAGAAAAAATGAAAAGAAGGAAAATATAAGGAAGATGAAAAAGAAGGTGGCAGAGTTACGAGAAATCTTGGCACGATTCGACTCATTGAGAAGAAAGAAGAAGAAGAAGAGGGAGGAGACGGAGACAATCAGATAGCACGGCAGCAGTCGATGCATCGAGAAGGAAAGGAAGAAGAGGAAGGGAGAGGTGAAAGGGAGTTACAAGCAATCGTGGCAGGAATTAAAGCATCGAGAGAAGGTAGAAGGAAGGGAGATGTGAAAGGAGTTACAAGCAATCATGGCAGGAATTAAAGCATTGAGAGAAGGTAGAAGAAGGAAGGGAGAGGTGAAAGGAGTTACAAGCAATCATGGCAGGAATTAAAGCATCGAGAGAAGGTAGAAGAAGGAAGGGAGATGTGGCTTGTAACTCCTTTTTCTACCTTCTCTCATGCTTTAATTCCTGCCATGATTGGAAGAAAGGGAGAGGTGAAAGGAGTTACAAGCAATTGTGGCAGGAATTAAAGCATGGAGAGAAGGTAGAGGAAGAAAGGGAGATGTGAAAGAAGTTACAAGCAATCGTGGCAGGAATTAAAGCATTGAAAGAAGGTAGAAGAATGAAGATAGATGTGAAAGGAGTTACAAGCAATCGTGGCAGGAATTAAAGCATTGAGAGAAGGTAGAAGGAAGGGAGATGTGAAAGGAGTTACAAGCAATTATGGCAGGAATTAAAGCATGGAGGGAAAGTAGAAGATGGGAAAGCGTGCACGCATGCACACTGAATCACAGGTGCCTGTCTGTATTATCTCTTGCCGTGTGTTGAGCACGCTCACACCACAACATTCCCGATGAAGGACAGGGAGTCAACACACCGAGAAGGTAGAAGAAGAGGGAGGAGAAGGAAGAAGGAAGCTTGCGAGCGCTCACCCCTCGACATTCCCGATGAAGGAGAGGGAGGTAACACACCGAGAAGGTAGAAGAAGAGGGAGGAGAAGGAAGAAGGAAGCTTGCGAGCGCTCACCCCTTGACATTCCTGATGAGAGGTTTGTAGTGACGTCCACCAGCAACGGATCAGGTTTCACTTCCTTTGGCTCTGAAAAAGCAATAAGGTCCTTGTAGCAGGAGGGAACACGTGCCTCGGAGATACTCACTCGGTCATTAGCAGGGTTTCTTGTACCCAGGAGGCACAGTGGCGCACCGCCGTTGTCAAATTTAACATCGCTGTTGTGAAAATTTTCCTGTATTTACTGATAAGTATATCCTGTATCTATGTACCTATAAGTATATCAATACATCCTTTTTTGTTTTTTTCCCCAAACTGGCCATTACCTCCTTTGTCTAATTTTCCCTCAGAAGAAACCCTGATTAGGTGAAATATTAAAGAGAAACATACTGGGTTGGTAGGTGAAGTAAGAAAGAGATACTCGCTTGGGCAGTAGGTGTAATATCAAAGAGAAACATACTGTATTACTGGGTTGATAGGTGAAGTAAGAAAGAGATACTCGCTTGGGCAGTAGGTGTAATATCAAAGAGAAACATACTGTATTACTGGGTTGATAGGTGAAGTAAGAAAGAGATACTCGCTTGGGCAGTAGGTGTAATATTAAAGAGAAAATTTCCAGATTGGTACAAAAAGTGATAGATAGATACTCACCCGGTTCATAATAAATTGTCATATTCATTTTTAATTTGTCATAAATTGTAACTAACTCAATCGCTAAGTGGAACGATAAAGAGCAACTCAGTGGATCAGTAGGTTAAGTGATAAAGGTAGAGTAACATACTCGGTCTTTAAGTAAAACAATAAAGATAACATATTCTTATATGCTGCGTTTACACTATCGATTTTTGTCAGCAAATCGTACCGATTTCAAGTGCATTCAAACACAATCGGCTGAAATTCGATTGTCTTGGAGTCGGAGTCGGGCCGAGTTGGTTCTATTTCTCCAACTCGGCGACTTGACTCCGACTGGGACTCCAACACAATCGAATTTCAGCCGATTGTGTTGGAATGCACTTGAAATCGGTACGATTTGCTGACAAAAATCGATTATAGTGTAAACGCAGCATTATCTGTAGGTGAAACAATAACTTGTAACATACTCAGTCAATAACCAAAACAATAAAAAGTAACATACTCGGTCAATAAACAAAACAATATTTAAACTAACTCAAATCTCAACACAGTTCTAACTCACTCGGTCTGTAAGTGATAAATAGATACTCACTCAGTCAACAAGTAAAACAATAAGTTCGAACTCACTCGGTATATAGGTGAAGGGTTGGAGGTCACCGCAACGATCCACACACCGCACCGATACAAACAACTCCACCGGTTCCGTGATATCCACGTCCTTGTACGGAGGAATCGCACAGATCAGGTGAGTCTGCACGACAACGAAGACGAAAGCGTTACGCGTTACCGTGACGACGTGCACGAGAATTATTGAGTAGGATAATAATAATAATAATAATAGCGTTCGCTTTTATCAAAGAACGAGTTTCGGCAAAAGTAATCTTTCGGCTAGCAAATTTTTATCTTATTCTTATCGAGTTCACGTCTCGTTACATTCCTGCTTCGCGAGTCAGATTAGAGTTATTATTATTTTTATTATTTCATTATTTTTATCGTTATTATTATCGCATTCTTATCGATTATCACGATTATTGTTGCCGGTATTGCAATAAAACGGAGATTTCGCGAAAACAAATTGTGGACCCATCGTTTCGCTACTCACTCACAGTTTGAAAGTACTCTTTCTCGATGGCCGCTTCAGCCTGCCAAATATCCTCGCCATCTGTAACGTAACGAAGATCAACAATCAGCAACCGACGATGCTATTTTTCTATTAGGCCACAATTCAAAAAATCTTCGTTTGCCCTCACCCGACCCAGGCTAAAAAGTTTGGGTAGGTAGGTAGGCTTTTTTTGAGGGGGGTGTTTTTACAAATTCAGCATGGTGTCTACATGCTCGGGTGTTTGTACAAAAAAAAAAGATCAATACATTTTTTTGAGTCGGCCCCTTTTTGGTGGGTCGGTCGGGTGAGGGCAAACAAACAATATTTTTATTATGGCCTAACCTAATAAGTTTGCTAATTGCCAACTGTGTCGCTCAAAAACAACATCGTAGAAACGCTCGGGAACATTTCTCGAGGGTCGCCATTTCGCAATTAAATAATATAGACGCTTAATAAATCTATTATAGTAAAATATCATTTTAGTTATTAAATAATATATATAGACGCTTTTTCCCGCTTGATAAATCGACTCGGAAGTCCAAGAGAGTAAATTCAAGCTAATTAGATTAACTAGCGATGGTAATTATGCACATATCATCGCGCGCAACGGACTTAATCATTTGATTGGAATACGCGATCAAATCAAATCGAATCGAAGCTTGATCGATCCGGAACGTGTGGGAACCGTAACCTCAACGGATGCAATTTTGAATTAAAATAATATAAATGCGTAATAAAAATATTAATATAATGAAACATTATTTTAGTTATGAAATAATATATATAGATGCTTTTTTCTGCTTAATAAATCGACTCGGAAGACCAAGCCGATTCAAACTTTTTGTCCTCGATCATTCCAGAATGCGAAATTTCTCGACGAACGCGGAAACTATTTTCGGCACGACCAATTGACTGGGAAGTACTAGACTAAAGGACTAAGTCTTTTACTACGTCTAAAAGACCGATGGTAATTATGCATCTAACGACTAAATGTCACGCGCAACGAACTTAATCGATTGGAACGTGCTTAAAATCAAATCAAATAGAAGTGACATGCTCGCTCAATCGTTCCGGAAGACGTGAAGGAACCGAACCGTACACGTGTCCTTCTCGATGAAGACGATATGTGTTCCTTTGAGGAAGTTCTTTCCGATGATGAAGAGGTCGTGACCTCCCTCTGGTGGAGACTCCGTGAGAGACATCCTGCAGATCTCTGGCTGGCCAGGAGGTTGCGCTGCGCAGAAAACACAACCGTCTCGTCAACGTTTTCCCCGCGAAAAGTCTCGGCAGGGGAAAAATTGGGAAAAAATCGATTTCACACGAATTTATCACTCATGTATTAATCATATGAAGTTAGCAAATTTAGGTGAATTAATCACATTAGTAGCTACGTAATATATGTATATAATATAATATAATAATGTATAAAGTGATTTAATGTTATTTGTTGCATATATAGTTAATAAACAACATAAATATAACACAGCAAATATAACATATGATATGATGTGATACGATATATGAAATAAGATATTATATTATATTACATTATATGATATGATATGATGCAAAACAAGCGAAAGTGCAAGTATACATATATATATATATATATGTATATATTTGCATGCTATAATTGTGGCGTATATATACGCAGGTTTCTTATATAAAGACCCACAATGCGCGGCACCACCGTGATGTCAAATTTTAACGATCGGCCTGTTGGTAAAATGTTCCTATATTTACTGACAAGTATATGCTGCTATCTTATGATATCATAAGTTATATCATACATCCTGTAATTTGAATCCATCATGCGCGTTTTTTTCCCCAAACTGGCCATTACCCCTGTTTGCTCTCATTTTTCCCTTCAGAGAAACGCCTGCATACGTGTACTGTAACATATACGTAGTGTTGTAATCGTTGTAATTTCCGTAATCGATCTTCTGTTGGCCCCAAGTAACCGTTGTTTCGTTACAATCGGTTACTCGGGTGTTTGTAATGTCTGCGTGTGTGTAATTCGTGTGCATGTATGTGCTTGTTTAGCCCTGTTTACTGTTTGTTTTGCACTGTTTACTACTGTGTGTATAATACATGTATGTTAATAAAGGATAACTTGTATAGTAGTGATGATATCTCTGATTCTCATCACTTTTCCAAGTTTTACATTTATTTCGATTTTTTATTTATTTTTCGATGAAATCGATTATGGAGTTTGATACCCAAGCGCTTGGTTCAAGCCACTGTTCAAATGATGATCGATTATAGTCGATAATCGTGACATCACTACATATACGTATATGTATATATGTATGCATGTATGTATACACGCATGCACGCACACATATATATATATATATAATGTCAAGCATAACTAGCCGCGCGTGTTTGCCGACCGGCGGCACCACCTACTGCATAGTATTGGCATGGAGGCGGTCTGTAGTGTGTAGCTGGACCCGTCCTGCCTGGGCAGCGTCACGCGGAAGATCAAACGAGCCTTCGTAGACTTCTTACGCGACCGCGCGACGCCCAGACGATGCTCGACGTCCGCGTTACGCAGTTTCAGGATTCCGACGCAGTCCAATCTGGAAACGGAAAGTCGCAGAGTGAGGACGGAATCGGAAATGGAAAGTCACGGAGTGAGGATGGAATCGGAGATAACGCGCGACGCCTAGACGATGTTCCACATCTGCGTTACGCAGTTTCAGGATTCCGGCGCAGTCAAATCTGGCATGGAAAGTCACGGAGTGAGGACGGAATCGGAAATGAAATGTCGTGAAGTGGGTACAGAAACGGAAATGAAACAGGAATGGATATTTGCCAGCTTTTAGGATTCTGAAGCAGTCCAATCTGGAATGGAAAGTCGTGGAGTGAGGATGGAATTAGAAACGGAACCGGAATAATGGAAATTCAGAGCTGGTATTCAGGATTCTGATAAAAATGGAAAGTCACAGAGTGATGCCGGAATCGCAAGAAAAGTAATGGAGTTGGACGACATTGGAACCGGAATGATGGCTCAAAGCAGACAGGGGGACGTAGGGGGCACTGCAGTTCCAAACAGTGAATGTAGGAGGCAACACACAATGCAGTCATGCTGGCACTAGTCTTAACTAGTTCAGCCCTGGTAGAAATTAACTTTTGAATACGGGAGTCCAACAGACTCCCTACCCTCAAAAAGAGGAAGTCCACAGCAAAATGAGGGAGTCCGCAGTCTGAGGTTCAAAATTAAAGATATTAACAATAACGCATGTGCTTATTTTTAAGATTCATGCGGTTGCACGTCTGCCAAATTTTCTTTGGACATATAGCTGAAAAATATGGTAATTCCGCGAGGCCGTGCTCTGGAATGAACTAGATAGTATGGCAGAATTTTCAGGGAGTCACACGGACTCCTGCATATGTCAAATCAGGGAGTCCAACAGTAAATCAGGGCATTAATTTCGCACCCTGCTAGTGGATGCCAGGAGCACCAATAGTCTTAACTAACACACGTAGGGGGCGACGTGTTGGCACTACAGTTTTAACTATCGTTGCACTACATAGTAGATATGTGGATGCCTAGGTCTTAATTACTACACATAGGGAGCAGCTCCATCTCAACTACCACACGTAGGGGGCGCCACTGCGACTCACACTGCGGTCATGTTCGACTCGAGCGACAACTAATACACATAGGGGGCGCTACTGCGAATTAGACGGCTGTCATGTTGGAACATTGGATTTGATGACAATTAATGCACATAGGGGGCGCCTACGTCTTAATTACTACACATAGGGGGCAGCTATGACAATGACAGCTAGTACAATTGATTTGATGACAATGAATGCACATAGGGGAGGGGGGGGCGCCTCTATCTCAACTATAACACACATAGGGGGCGCCACTGCGACTCACACGGCGGTCATGTTCGACTCGGGCGACAGCTCCAACTCTATGATGTGGGTTCCTTCCTGCTGCCGCTTCTCGCAGGGGCACGAGTTCTTTCCCTGCACCTCGCACGCCTGGTAGTAGCCGTGCGGTCGCACCTTCGCTGCGTCCGATCCCACGAACACCTGAAGCTTGGCCGGCTTGGAGTAACCGAATAGCTAGAGAGAGAGAGAGAGATTACATGGTGGTGTTCAGAGGAAGGAGGAGGAGGAGGAGGGAGGAGGTGGAGGAGGGAGGAGAGAGGAGAGAGGAGGGAGGAGGTGGAGGAGGGAGGAGAGAGGAGGAGAAAGAAGAAGAGAGGGAAGAAGATCAGGACAGTAATATCAATAAGAAGGCGAAGAAGAAGATGATGATGAAAATGATGATGATGGTGATGATGATGGTGATGATGATGGTGATGATGGTGATGAGGATGAAGATGAGGAAGAAAGAAGAAGCAGAATTATAAGAAGAAGAAGAAGAAGAAGAAGATGACGATGATGATGATGAGGATGAAGAAGAAGCAGAAGAACAAGAAGAAGACCCACCTTGACGGCAGGGTGTCCCTTCTGCGCACGATCCTTCACGGCCCCGCGGCTTCCCTCAGTTAGATAGCGGGCGCGGTGGTTCGACTCCGGCTGAGCTGTGATCTTTAATTCCACGTCTCCGCACCGACTGGGAAGCTGCGTGGTGAGCGGCGGTTCGTGGCTGCTGCTGCTGCGAGCGGGACGAATAAAGTCATTTATTATTGTTATTGATGTTATTGTTGTTACTAATGCAATTATTATTATTATTATTACTATTATTGTTGTTTTTATTATCATTATTATTTATTATTATTATTCATTAGTATTCTATTATTATCATTGATTATTAATATGTACATTAATTATTTTGTATTCTATATTATATTATTATTTATTATTCATTCTTTTATTATCATTATTATTATATATTATGCATTGATTACTATTATTATTATTATTATTCCATTATCATTATTTATTAGTTATCATTATGTTATTATTATTATTATATGCATTATTATTAATGCGATTATTATTAACTATTTATTATTATTGAATTATCATTAGTGAGATCAATTATTATTACAGTATTATTATATTATCATTTTATTGACTTATTATTATTCTTTATTATTACAATTATTATTATTTATTATAATCATTATGATATTAACATTATTATATTATATTATTACATTATTATTAGTCAATTATGTATGTACTATTTATTATGTATTGATTATCGATTATTATTATCATTATTATTACTATTAGTATTATTATTTATCATTATTATTACTATGATTATTATTATTATCATTATTAAATTACTATTAATTCTTAATTATTGATCATTATTATATTATTATTATATTATATCATTATTATTATTATTATTATTAAGTATTATATCATTATTATTACTATTATTGTTGTTATTATTACTATGATTGTTGTTATTATTACTATTACGATTATTTTTTTTATCGTTATTATTATCTTCCTACTTCCTCTATGTTAACTTCTCCGGCCCTCCTATCCTTCACACACGCCCGCCCCGCAACCGCCTCTCTCCTTACAGGCACGCTTACACCGCCGCCTGACCCCTGCCTCCTACAGTACCGCCCCGGGACCCAGCCGCATCCTACCGTTCTCGCCTCCCACCTTCCCCATCCGGCCGCCAGACCAGTCTCCTCCGCCCCTCCCACCCCATACTCACCGTAGCGCTTGCCCGCCCTCGCTGCTCCTCCTCTCTCGCCGGCATCCGGCGTCTTCTCCTTCTCCTCCTCCTCCTTCTCTCTTCCTCCCTCCTGGCCAAACTTCTGGAAGACGAACTGGGTCGTCGGAGGACGGGCCGAGTCGGCGTTGAACGGCAGGCGGACTCCCGCTCCCCTCCTCCCCTCCTCATCCTCCCCCTCACTCATTCGTGCCCGCCACCTCCGTTGCCGCGTCTTTCCTCGAGAGTGGGTGAGCTTCGGACTAGGAGTCTTGCAGGGCCTTTGCGCTGGCTGCTGGCCTTAGCGTGCCGCGTGCTAATCGTTGCTAGGCGCGCCCGCCCACCACCGTCCGTCGACCCGCGACTATGCGCCCGTCCCGCTCACAGTCCACGTTTCCCTGGCAGCTGCACGAGAGATGAGAAGAGGTGAGAGGTGAGAGAGGTGAGAATGAGTAGAGGTGAGAGAGGGTGATGAGAGGCAGAGAGGTGAAAGATGTGAGATGGAGTAGAAGATTCGTACGGCAGCAATAGTAAGCAGCAGAGTACTACAGGCCGTAGCAGTACGCAGTAGCAGTTACAAGCATAAGGGCAGCAGCAAGGCAACAGTCAGCAGCAGCAGCAGTAGGTAGGCAGCGCAGCAGTAGCCGAGCACCAGGCAGTAGTACTGAGAAGCAGTAGCAGTACAGCAGCAACAGCAGTCAACAGCAGCATCCGCACACCATCAGCAGTAGCAGCAGTAGCCAGCAAGCTTGCAAGATACAGTAGGCAGTCAACGTTATTACATAAAGGCAGCAGAGAATTACATACACTTAGGGATATAGATTAAAAGATTACACCACTAACGCAATACACTAATTATGCATAAATTACACACCACAGACAGTTATACTACTTTGCGCGAAAGATTCGTTAAACTTATATTACTTACAGATACAGATTTGCAAGAGGAAATTTTGTCCATCAGAGTTTTATGATAACGTTACAACCCCCTCGTCGTAAACCACTCGGTGCAACACAAAAAAACTTGACGGCTATAAAAGTTCATAAACCACTCGCCGCGACAGACATTAAACTTCGGTTGCTTCCGTGTATGTGGCGAAGGACCATGATTCGCAAAGCCACAAGGCCACAATTAAAATAATCTTTGTTGCCGCCCAAACCCAGGCTGAAAAGTTTGGGTAGGTAGGTAGGACCTTCATTTTTTTTGGGGGGGTCTTTTTACAAATTCATCATGGCGCTACATGCTCGTGTGCTTGGTGGAGATACCTTTTATGTTGAATGTTTTGTTTTGCTGGTGGCGGCAATATTAATGTAATTGCCTATCAGATTTATATAATGTACAGTGATAGCAATTGAACTAAAAAAAAAAGTAAAATAAAGTAAAGATAAATAAAACCAATTGGAGTTCGTCCGGCGCTTTTGCGGTGGTTGGGATGAAGGGCAAACATACAATACCTTTTTATTATGGCCTAAAGCTTACGTGTTTGGACAATATTGATTTTTACATACTCGGCACAAGACGCCCGTTTACGTTGTAACCTCCATGGTCAATTTATTCAGTTTATTAATTGGATATACTAACTGAGCACGCATGCATGTTATGTTATGTTACGTAACGGTTTATAAATTACCTCTTAGCACAGTTATGTTATTATAATAAATCGTTTACCAGCTAACAGGTTATATTATATACTAACAGGCACTTATTGAATGTTATTATAACAACACCGTAATGGTTTATTATAAAATTACTACTGACTACTAATATTTTATTATAATAGCTGTTACGCGACTAAGCAGGTTATTATTATATACTACAGGCACTATTATGTTATTATAATATAACCAATGTTAGTTAATACTACTACGCACTAATATGTTTATATAAAACGTGTTACGCACTACAGGTTATATTATATACTACAGGGCACTATTAGTTATTAATATAACACCAATGGTTTATATTATTATACTTACTACACTAATATGTTATTATAATAACTGTTACCACTAACCAGGTTATTATGTATATAACACAGGCCCTATTATGTTATTAAATAACACCAATGTTAGTTATTATTACTAATCACATAATATGTTATATAATAACTATTACGGGCAACTAACAGGTTATTATTATATACTACCAGCACATCATGTTATTATAATAACAGCCATGTTTATTCATTAATACTACTACGCACTAATATGTTATTTAGAATAACTGTTACCACTAACAGTTATTAATTATATACCTACAGGCAACTATTATGTCATAATACAACACCTGTAAATGGTTTATTATTATTACTACTACACAAAATAACATGTATTGATAATAACAACTAATGGTTAATTATATTATTATTATTATTAATTATTATATTAATTATTAATATTAATTTATTATTATTATCCAAATGGATCATCGCAATTATTATTTATTATTTATTATTATTATTATTATTATTGATTTATTAATTATTCTGTATTGATTATCATCATAATTCCTAGCACTGCGTAAATTTTTACAATAACATATTATAATCAAGTTACTACTAGCACCCACACCTTCAGTATGGCCGCGGCGATTACGAGCGGATAAATACCTTCGACGTGATTGGTTCCTGATCCGAGTGGCTCTCGTCTTCGGCGGCCGGCCGTCGCTAGCCGCGTCGTCGTCGCGGTCGGAGTCGACACGAGTCGCGCGGGCGGCCATCTCGTGGTGTCGAGGCCGACGACATAAGGCTGTCGTCCAGCGCGTGGTCCGTCCGCCGCAACATCGCGTCGCTCTGTCTATCTGTCTCGCGCAAGCGTTCACCTGAGGAGGAATGCAGGAGTGAGCGAGCGGTCGGCTGATATCTACGGCAGTGGTGTGCGTGTGGTGTGTGTGTGTGTGTATTGTGTCTGTAGTGTGTGTGTGTGTGTGTGTGTGTGGTGTTGTCTTGTGTGTGTGTGTATGTGTGTGTGCGTGTGTGGTGTGTGTGTGTGTGTGTGTGTGTGTGTGTGTGTGTGTGTGTGTGTCGGTGTGTTGTGTCGTGGCTGCGTGAGCTGCTCCCTCTTTCTCTCTCTCTCTCTCTCATGCTCTCTCTCTCAAGGGTCTCTCTCATCTCTCTCTCGTCTCTCCTTTCCTCGTCCCTTTTCTCTCTCTCTCCCATCGCGTCTCAGCTCCTCTCCTCTCTCTCTCTCTCCCTCTCTCCTCCTCGCTCTCCTCTCTCTGCTCTCCTCTCTCTCGTCTTCCAGTTCGCGGCTTCGAGTCGCGAGGCTCTCTCTCTCTCTCCTCTCTCTTCTCCTCCTCTCACTCTCTCTGTCCCTCCCGCTTCTCCCTCTCTCGTCTCTCGGCTCTCTCTCCTCTCCTCGCTCTCTCTCTCTCTCTCTCGCTCTAAATAAGATTTCAGGGAGTCAGCACGGACTCCCGCATAAGTCAAAATCAGGATGTCCGAGCGGTAATCAGGGAGTATTGGACTCCGAATTCGCGATAATTTTGCACCCTGTAACATTTAATACTATTAATATATTATCGTTATGCTATAAGACAATTTTAATAGGCCAAACTCATCTGTTCTCCCTCTCCTTTCTCGCCCGAAAAATTTTGCCGAACCTACCAACTCTGTCGTTACCCGGCGGCGGCCTTAACTGGGTTTACAAAACGCACCTGACTTGTGTCGGCGAATTGTCGAGTTTGGAGCAATTTCTCATTTTTGGCAAAAATAGAAAATGTTCTATATCTCCCAAACTAGTTGGCGTCGGTTGTCATGCGATCGTTGGTTTACGGCAGCGTTTGGAACTCCAGTTCGCGACAATTCCCGCCAACCCAAAGTCGGGTAGTGTAAACCCAGCTTTACACACACTCGGGTTTACTTTTGCGTACATCTAACAATCGGGACGATTACAAAGGCACACAGGCTCACTCACACTAGCAGCCATGTTGCACATAACAACACGCGACAGGCAACATCAAGGACGACAACATATCTGATCCCACCGACAACAAGAAAGATTGCCACCGGATACAATCGAATAAGAACTGGTTAACACAGGGGCGAGGGAACTCCTATTGTCCACGACAAGCGTTCTGCACTATCCCGCAGCCGAAAACACGCACTTAGACGTTGTACTTAGCACATACGATAAAGTGAACAGTAGCTGCTATAGTATTTCATTGGTGGCTTAAAAATAACTTTTGTGGTTCTAGCCTTGGCTCAAAACTTTAAAACATCCAGAGGGGGCCCTGCGTTTGTCCACGACAACCTTGCTGCATTATTCCGCAGTTGTAGCAATGTCGTAGAGATATATGGAGGTCTCACTAAACATCGGCACACGTCTGCCGTCGACATCATCATCAAAGTAGATGGGTGGGACAGTAATGGCACGTTACAAGTACTGACAAACCGAACTGCGGGTGGCAAGAATGGTTCATTATTGGAAGAAGACTGTAAGAATAGAAAGGAAGAATTGTTCATTATTGGAAGAAGACTGTAAGAAATAGAAAGGGAAGAATTGTTCATGATTGGAAGAAAAACCGGGAAGAATAGAAAGGAAGAATTGTTCATTATGGAAGAAAACCGTAAGAATAGAAGGAAGAAATTTCATTATTGGGCAAGAAGACTGTAAGAAAAGAAAAGGAAGAATATGTTCATTATTGGAAGAAGACTGTAAGAATAGAAAGGAAGAATTGTTCATTATTGGAAGAAAACTGTAAGAATAGAAAGGAAGAATTTGTTTCATGATGAAGAACAGCCGGAGAATAGAAAGGAAGAATTGTTCATTATTGGAAGAAAAACCGTAAGAATAGAAAGGAAGAATTGTTTCATTATTGCGATAGGAGACCATAAAGAATAGAAAGGAAGAATTGTTCATTATTGGAAGAAGACTGTAAGAATAGAAAGGAAGAATTGTTCATTATTGGAAGAAAACCGTAAGAATAGAAAGGAAGAATTGTTCATTATTGGAAGGAGACCATAAGAATAGTAAGGAAGAACTGTTATTATTGGAGGAGAACCATTAACTGTGTCTCATTCAAACTTGTACCACTGAACAATTAGATGCCTGTAATCACACCGATACGGTAGTGTCGTTCATTGATTGCATAAAATAAATAGCTTAAAAATAAAAAAAACTAGTTTTACTCATTTTATAATGCACGAAAAAATATAATTTTATAGCAAAACACAAAAGTGTGACAATAACACGTTTACGAGCGGCACC